TTTCTATTTGTTAATATTACTCAATTCCAATTCCAAATGAATAAAACCGTGTATTGCAGTGTCACCTGTTGTAGTACTACAGGTAGACCAAGTGACAGAAAAAACATGAATAAATCATGTGATATTAAAAATATTGATAAGGGCTGCTTAGTTTTGTGTTTGCTGAAATATAATTACCTCATAAACCTGGTCAGCGTTGAACATAAATATAGCTTGGCTATGATTATAGATTCCGTAAATGATTTCAGACTAGTTAAGTGTAATAAACTACACGTGACCTTAGCTCAGAGAGCCGAGAAGCGATGTTGGCATAACGGTTAGGACGCTCGCTGGCCATAGACATGGTCCGGGGTTCAATCCCTGACTGACGCACTCCTTTACCTCGCTAAGACAATGATAAAAACCTGGTAAAGAGGAGAGGTTGGGTATAAGGCTAGTAACCCCATCCTATAGAAATAAACACAGCTACAGAAACTTCAAGTCTCTACCTTGGAGCCCTATGTTCCACTGGGAACATGAAGGAATGAAAACACAGTGTATTAAAATGCTGACATTCAAATTTTAGGTTAGGGAAACTTCTTATCACAATGTAGATTTCGTCAGAAAAAAAGTATCATATACAGATCACTGAAAATCAGGGAACACAAATCATCTAAATACTAATCTTCAGCTCACTAATGGCTAATGAATGGATGTCTTCAAGCTGTACTAAGAAGTCCTAGCCACTTGAATTTGCTATTTCGAGGTGAAGTGGACGCTTATTGAGGGCATCGCTATATTACCAAATTGACAGGTGTTAGAATTCACGGGTCATTGAATTCCAAACCAAGTGACTGGACAAAAATCAATAAGCTAAATTCTTATTCGTCTAAATGTTCCAACAACACGCTTATATATATGTATAATATCGTACCTTTAATCGCCAATTGTTTATATGAAGCTATGACATACACAATAATGTCAAATATGTTTTTTTCTCTTGTGATTAAACGCCTTGTAATGCTTTTGTCTCAAATCTAGTTAAATCAATATTTTTATGCATTTTAACAAATCAAAGTATTCGGGAACTTTTAATCACCTGCAGTTAGGTAATATAAATAAAACTTCGTTTTAACTCCTAAGATAAAGTAGGATAATAAGTGTTTATCAAATGGATAAATTTCTCTCAAAAAAATGTTAAGTGTTCAAGATACAGATCGTTCAATATTGGAAAAACTGTTCATATGTGATTCGCAAATAATTTGTGTAGATATATGGCCATCCTATAAAAATATTTTCACTAACAAATACCCTGCCCGATAGTTATAGAAGCAGCCATGAAGAAGAATTATTTTTTCATTGAACTCAATCTCACAGCTACATTTTCATACCTAGTGTGGCGTATGCTACTGATAAGATTTACTAGTAGTATATAAAAAGACGTACATTGATCGGCATAAAAACATCAAATAGCAAGGAAATACATTCGATGTCAGAGAAGGCAAATAATACAGCGTTGTGGAGATACACGGGAGACGTGAAAGGAACACAAAGAAACACAACATAAAGTCCAGAAGTACTACTACACGAAGATCTGTGCAAATGGTGCGTTGAAGATAAGGTATACGTAAGTTGGCTATGTAGAGATACCAACGCCCATCCAACAATTCGTTCATCAATAAATTGTGTTCGAAACGTCATCCCGTATACAATACTGTTTCACTGTGATACATTTAATAAACAAACTAATGTGGAATTCATTTTATCAAGTTTGACCACGGATTGATATCAGTTAGAGAACCATCAAACCCCAGTGGGTGCGTACTGCTGATTATTCCCAAAGTGGGATCCAACAGCTGGCTTTTCAGTACTCCCTGGTTTCCAATGGTTCTCTAGCTGATATCAATTCACGGTCACACTAGAGAAGTGTTTTTAGTAAAAAGTTAAGGTGAATCCAAAAGCGGGCAGTATCACAGCGTAAGGATTAGTTTAGACAGAATAATTCTGGAGAACGAAGGGAACAGCAGGGTTTTCTGGTTTATCAGGAACGTTTTATCTCCTAGTGTTTTCTTAAATATAAAATTCAGAAAGGTTTAAAACAGGAGGTTATAAAATTTTATTGACCGTAATATTTTAGACTTTAATACGTTAACATTGCACTTACTGAGATTCCATGTTGTTCACGAATTCTAATGCTTGAAATTTTATGTCACTAATTCTATTCCTAAAAGATAACTGTTAAAACTAACTAAAAACGAGGGCGTAAGCTGTATTTGAGGGATTATACATGTTCAAACCGTATTCACTTATAAGAGCTTGAAAAAATTTGGGCATTGGGTATATGTGTGGTGAGAGCAGGCTGCTAGCCAATCGGTAGACATTAATCTACGTCAATGTCTAGGTCACTAATATTGGCCGTGAGAAAACATGAACAAGTCTGATTCAACAACCAATCACAGCAGACTTAAACGTGGGCAAATAAGATTCGCAGATAGATGGCTCCACTTTCCGAGGAACTCGAAAACAACCAATCAGAAGACTGCGTTTGTCTACTTGAATAAGCTATAATAATGTACAGGAAATATATATAAATACGTGTTGATTTCCGTAATAAAACAATCTGTTGCCGGCCCTTGTCTTCTGTTGTTACATATGATATTCATTATTACAAAAGTTTTGATGTAATTGTGTTCTCCGAGCTGGTTGGTTCATAAGCCCAACACTAAGCAACATCTTCAGCGCATATTTCAATTCGAAGTGAGCTTGTAGTTGTCTCTACGAGTCTATTAGTCATTACTCCTGGGTATCTTGAACGTTATTGGTTGTTTTTTGCGTGTTTTCACACTCTCTTGGCTACTGGTATTGGTGCTGATTGTTTCCTTGACCTGAACTTTGCCCCTTTGTGTGTGAGATTTCCTTCTTATCGACTGGTAAATTTTGTCTCTCTCGATGTGTCTATTGATTGATGATTCACTGGAATACCAGGCTTCTAAAAATTCTCTAGCATTCTTGGTGTTTCCTCTGTCTAATATTTGAACGCTGGTTGTCCCAGTCGAGTTGATATCTTAGGCTCAATAATCATGCGTAGACTGAGTGGTGCTCGGGAGACACAAACACGAGAGAGCCAGGCAGGCTTTAGACCAGGAAGAGGGTGTATTGATCATATCTTCACCCTCCGACAGATTCTAGAACATAGTCATTCCTACCGGCGTCCAACAGTCATTATATTTCTTGACCTAAAGGCAGCTTTCGACTCTGTCGATCGGGAAGTTCTCTGGAGATGCTTGGCTGTAAAGGGAATTCCGAGAAAATACATTGCACTGATTAAGGCACTGTACTCGTACTCATACAGCCAGGTGAGGGCTTACGGCGAGCTGTCATCTGAACTGATGACGACCAGTGGTGTCCGTCAAGGATGCCCATTATCTCCTTTTCTATTCAACTTCATCATAGATGTGTTAATGGACTTAACCCTAAGTGACTTCAGCGATTCAGGGATTGACTTGCTACCTGGGAAAAATCTCGTTGACTTGGAATATGCAGACGATATAGTCCTTCTAGGCGAAGACGCTGACAAAATGCAGAGTCTTCTAAACACCTTGAACAGCAATCTACGAATGTTTGGCATGCGATTCGCTCCAGCCAAATGCAAGATGATGTTACAGGACTGGACTACATCGACGCCTAGTTTAAAAATAGGAAGTGAAGTGGTAGAGCACGTTGACCGCTTCACTTATTTGGGAAGTACCATCAGCCCCAACGGGTTGATCTCTGACGAAATCTCAGCACGAATACAAGGGGCTCGTTTCGCATTTGTTAGTTTACGCCGACTCTGGCGTAGACGAGATGTTCGACTATCGACCAAAGGGCGGGTGTACTGCTCATCAGTCCGCTCCGTCCTCCTTTATGGTTGTGAGACCTGGCCACTGAGAGTGGAAGACATGAAAAGACTAGCTGCCTTTGATCATAGGTGCCTGCGTTCTATTTCCCGTGTAAAGTGGCATAATAAGGTGAGCAACATGGAGGTTAGGCGTAGAGTTCTAGGTAAACAGGGGAAATCAATCGACGAAGTCGTGAAGCTACATCGACTGAGATGGTTAGGACATGTGTTACGTATGCCAAGCCATCGCCTCCCTCGACGAGCTATGTTAGCGGATATAGGGTCAGGCTGGAAAAAAGCTAGCGGCGGTCAAACACAAACTTGGCATCAGTCAATGAAATCCACAACAGTTGGTCTAAGCCACGTAGAAAGGTGTAGACTTCCAGGCTGGGGTCCTCGGGACGGTAAAAATCTATGGTTGGAAACAATTGGTGACATGGCTCAAAATTGTTCTCAGTGGCGCAGATGCATCCACTCCCTGTGACTTATGATCTTCAATGAAACTGTTTTGTTCTTCGTTATTACTCCTTTGTCTCACACCTCTGCTCACTGTCTCTATTATGCTTTTCTTGTACTTTCTTCTCTTGCTTCGCGTGCTACACGGAATGTGGCGACTTGAACTTCCGCACATTTGTGCAAAGTTCTATGTCGAAAACAGACAGACAGACAGAATTGATATCTGTGGTTGGCTGTATTCAGTAGCATGAGAGAGTGAATGTCATGTCTTTTGACAGCTAGTCTACAATCATGGATACGAAGACGAAGGGGACGTCCATTTTGGCTAATGTAGTGTTTTTCACAGTCGTTGCAATCACGTTCAAGATCACCAGCAGAGATGATTAATAAATTCGTGGAGAATTCTAAGAGCTCACTTCAAATTGAAGTATGCGTTGAAAATGTTGCTTAGTTTTGGGACAATGAAAGGTTTGCAAATAAATCAATCAGCTCAGAGAACACAACTACATCGAAATCATCCACCTGAGCTATAAATCTTCTCTATCAGATTATTATAAAAGTTCTCTTTGTTTTTCATCCACTGAGATATACAAACATTTTTTTTTATAATAATGTATTTGGAGGAGTTTTTAAAACTTTATGCTCATGTAAATAAAACAATTTGTAAGCATCATAATACTCAGAAATGAAGTATTCCTATACATTAAGTGCTTATTTCAATTGGCATACAGAAGCTGAGTTCACTTGCTACTCCGAGGTAATATTAGATAGGAAAAATAAACTGCAGAACTTAATTTCATAGTTTAAATTTTAGAGATAATTTACAGCAAGGAGAAACTACTGAAATAATTGTGTAAGCACAGACATATTTATTGAATTGAATTTTTGATTTTCCCGTCGATTGATTGGACCGAAGTGCTCGGTCTCAGGTTGACATGTCGGCTTCTTGTGCTTCTTGGGTTCGAGCCTCAGTGGGAACATCATCACTCACTGAGAAATGCAGGTACATCCAGTTGACGAGTCCCAAATAGGACGAAATGCGCATCCTGGATTCCACTGCTAGCCACCATCCACCAATTGTATACTAACAGACATATTTATTTCAAGCGAATTATTTTTATATTTACATCCTGTCAATGAACTTTCGTCCTAATTTTGAAAACTATTCAGATAAAATCCTCTTCAAAGAAGGTGTTGTTACCACAGTCATTTAAAACTGTATGCGACGAACATTATTATTATTATTATTCCATTGGGTTCCAAGTGGAACATAGGCCTTCAAAAACACATCTCCACTTTGTCCAATCTTCTGCTGTCCTCTTCAGCTGTGTCAACGATTAACCATAATATCTCATCTTCTCCTCACATGACCTCCTCAATGTCACCCTAGCACCGACAACCCACTCGTCGCTTCCCATTTGGATTTCACTCGATCACTGTATTGCGCGCGATATCATTCGACAGTTTCTTCAATGTATCTCAGATACATCTTCATTTTCTCCTACATATTTATTGGGGAATCGGCTCCGGATTGGTGTTTTCCCGGACAGAGCTTCTTGTTACTAATTACTCCTGGCCAACAGACCATTTGATCTTCATTATAGAGCCAGCGAAGTTGGCAGCTGTTGATGAAAGTCTGCAACCTGTTGGAGATTCTTTTGGTCATACGCAGTACACCCGTATAGAATAACCGACTTGACATTGTTGTTGAGAATGCGAATCTTGTTCCTTATACTGAATGTAGCAAAGTTTCAAACTGATTTTAGATTGATGAAGGGGTATCTTGCTTTTTCGATTCTGGCTAGCTGGCTTTGACATCTTCATCCGTTCCGGTTGTCTTTGGTTGGAACAGGGCATCCTAGATAAGTGGAGGAAGTAACTTCTGTCAAATCTTTCCTGCCAATAGGGATTGGTGCTGGTTGTTGTTGTTGTTGTTACTGTTCGTTGTTCATCTTCATTACATCCGTCTGCTCTATGTTCACCTGGAATCCTTTCTTCTCTAGCTGCCTCTTCAGCCAGTTTATCGGTTTTCGCCTGCAAGTCTTCGAGTTTGTGAGACATTAAACACAAGTCATCAGCGAAATCCTTATCTTCTTATCGGTCATCCAACGTACTCTTGACTCCTCGCTCCCCACAATCTGACGCATAATCCAGTCCATCGCAATTAAGAATATCATCGGTGATAATAGACAAGCAGTCTTGCCTTACTCCTGTATGCACTTCGAACGCCCCACTGACATGTGCCACTGTCATATAACTGTTGAATGAGGTTCACATAAATTAGATAAATGTGTCCACATACTAGTTCTTTCATAATCCCGTGTTTTTAGGATGACTTAGTCACATGTCTCACTTATATATTCATTGACAACTAGAGGAATGTGATAATCTAGTCCTGGGCTGATAAATTTCATAAAAACTCAAAAATTTCCTCCTTCTAGTCTGATCACGGATGGATATCAGTTATAGTACCTGGGAGTGCTGGATAGCTTTTTCACGCTACTCTGAGATTCTTCATCAGTGAAAACCCATGACCTCATAGCTAGAAGTCGTACTCATCACTTGTAGGTTACAAGTAGAGCTCGGTGACGATTCACCAACTGCGACAGAATCTAATGGCCCATCAATTATAACTTCCAACAACCCTCGACTTTTGACACCACCACTAGCCAGTGTCATTGATTAATATTTCTCGTTCCCCACTGGTCACGACTTCTCACTAGAACTCCAGGCAGTTGCATCCTGTAGTCAGTCATCAGTGAGCATTAGACAAATTTCCAAGTGTTATTTTCTAGGGATTTGACAAGATTCAGGTTTGACCACGGACTGATATCAGATATAGACTCATTGAGAACTAGACAGCTGTTTCGTCCAAGTCTAGGACTTTTCTTCAGTATGCACCTCATGATCTCCCAGCCTTCCTATATTTCTTAGGAGTTACTGTATTAAATAAAGCACGTTATCGTTTGTTTTTTCTTTTCACACTAGTTTTACATTATTTTTCAATAGGCTCATTTTATACTTCATTTTTTTCACATTATTTTTTCATCTCCAGACGCAAAGTGGCAGTCCATCAGAAGGGGTTTTACAAAGTGGAGACGCCATTTTATCAATAAATGGAGAAAATGCCCGTAGTTTAAGTCATGAGGAAGCAACACAGAAAATTCGTTCTGCAGGCACTGATCTTCAGTTGACCGTAGCAAGGTAAGTATATTTTTATTGCAAAACTGTATCAGCTTCAGGTTATAAAAATAAGAATGACTTCCCTGTTTTTAAGAATGCCTAAAATAAGTAAATATGTACTTTGGTTGATCAGCAATGTCATGTGTATAGCAGTTGGTGGTGCTGACTGAATTCTATTAGTCAAGTTTGTAATATGATGAACAATTTATGTGACCTACCATCGTGATGAATAAAAGACAACGAAATATACTAGACACACAATATTGGCTGATCCCTGTTGATCAGTCATCGTAATCACTACAGTCCCACAAGAACCTATTCGTTAGAGCTAATTGTTCAGTGATGAAGTCTCTAACTGCAGCACTGGGTGACACGGGTTTGAATCATCGGGAGAGCATCTGTCAATTCCTTAGAGGTTGAAGATACACCCTGCTGAAGTATGTATGTAAGCTAAGTTAAGAGTGAAAGTTTCACAGCTCTTATAGACAGTTTTCTGACAAAATCTCAGTACGAATACAAAGGACTCATGTAGTATTAGCTAACTTATGCCATCTCTGGAAGCTATCGATTAAAGGACTTATGCACATTTCCTCAGTTTGCTCAGTCCTCCTATACGATTTTGAGGCACTGACATTGGAAGTGGAAGACCTGAAGAGGCTAGCTGTCTTTGACCACAAGTGTGTACGTCTCGTCCTCCATCTTAAGCAGTAAAATATGATACGAAATACTGAGGTTGGGAGTAGGTAAGGAGGGTAAGTCAGTCTTTAAGTTTGTGAAGCTTGTTGTATTAAGATATCTAGAGATATGTTGTCTATGCGGAGCCATCAACTCTCTCGATAGGCAATGTTAGGTGTCACTGGGTTGGGTTGAAAGACAGTAGAACGTGGTTAAGCCATAAAAATTTTTAACAGTTGGTTTGATCCACATAGGCATATGTAGGCTACCTGGTTAGGGTCCTCGGGATTATAAGAACCAATGGTCGGAGACTATTGGTGATATGGCTTAAAGTCGTATTCAGTAACGCAGATACATTCACCTTTTCGAACTCCTAGATTACTTCAGCTGTCATTATTCATCACATAATTACTCTTCCTGCTGCATATTTCGTTCATCATAGTTACTCGGAATATTTTTTCCGCTAATTCTGTGTGCTATGTTGAGTATCGTAACTCGAAGTACTGCTTTTCCGTGCAAAGTACAACTCTGAATTCCAGTCGGTCAGTGACTCTGCAACTACATTAACATGGTAATAATTTAAGAACAACTAATATCAAAAAAAATATTTTCACAGTAGGGATGACCAGACTGGATAAATTTCCGATCTCTTTAAAAAGTAATAAAGTAGAATGCTCATATACATTGTATGAAACTTATTCATTCAGTTATTGACTTAAAATCCAGTGATCATTATTTTTTTTCCAATTTTATCAAATGAAACTGTTGAACTGTAGGATGTTTTGAGTGCTTGCATCAGTTATTATCTAAGGATTAGCTGTATTATGATCGAACATATTTGTAGATAATCGAGCCTTTAATGCATGCGCCTTATTTCGGTTAGACACCCTCCTGATATTCACACTTCGCTGACATAAATGAAGCATTAAAAAATTCAACTTCTCACCCTTAATCAATTATAAACAAAACTTATTCTTCCATACCATACGCATAATTTGCTTATTTTGGAGTCCTTGCATCCTCTGAACCGGATAATTTGATTGGAAGCTTTCGTTGACTTTCTGGAAAACATCTTCAGAGTTAAATTCAAAATAAGTTCTAAAAACTGACTTAATTTTGTTATAGGTAAAATTTATTCTCATAAAGTCTCACAGTGTTATACAGTAATATTTACTGATGACCACGTTTCGAGCACAGTTTATTGCTCCTCATAATCATATCAAGGTATTCAGACAACTTTCTAACTTCTTTCATATAATTTCATTATTTTCCAAAGACCAAACGCAAAATAAAAATAATTGTGAAATTAGTAGTGATAACATAAATAAGAGACAATATAAGTCATCCACTGTTATACCATATAAGGAGAGGACATCTGAGACCCTACGTAGGATTCATAATGAAGCAGGAATTAGGGTGGCATTCAAAACTACAAACTCACTCAGGTAGGACAGGCTCTTTAGGTTAAAGAACCCAGTTGACTTAATTAGACAAAATAATATAATTTACAAAATACCTTGAAATGACTCTGATGGAGGTCAACTACATAGGTCAAACTAGTAGATCAGGCGAAGTGAGATTATCAGAACATAAGAATTTAGCTAAAGTTAGAATGATTGATCCTAGGAAGATAAGTAATTTAGAAAACAAAACTCACCGATAGCACTGCACGTATTGATCCACAACCACACAATAGGGTGGTGGGAGGGGTTTAAATTCTAAGAAGTAATATAGGTAGGTGGAGAGCGAGAAAAGGTTGATTACTGAATCCTTGTCCATCGAGTCTACACCCAACACGTACAATAGGAATAACTCATCACTCATACCAGAAATATGGAAAATACTGCCACCAATCAAATGAAGAGATGAGAAATAGTGGAACCATATCAACGAAGTTGGAAAGTTCTGTGAGTAACTAGATATGATTATCAGCTGTAAATTGTGCTCGAAACGTCGTTATCAGTAAATATTACTGTATAACAGTATGAGATTTTATTAAGATAAATTTTACCCATAATGGAATTATACTCTACCACAGTGCACAAGTTTTATTCTTATATCAGTGACCCTATTTTCAATAAAGCACTGATTACCATGAAAACGTCACAAGCGAACCATCCAAATCAAAGAATATAACTAACCTAAAATCGTCTACTTTAGCCAATTAAATGAAGAAGCATAAATCTCCAACATACCAGAGACGTTTGCAAGCTTGATTACCGTCGAAAATGAGAACAAGACAAGTACAATCATATGACTCTTAGAGAAAACATTAAATTAAGTAGTAGAATAATAATAAGAAGCTTAGTCTTTTAGATCTTGACTAGCCTTTAAGAAAATTCGATGGATGATAAAAATATGTGGATTTCTTCATTCACTGTGTTTAGAGTAGAAGTCTCAACAGCAGTACTATTGTTCTCACGAGATGAGATTGCTAGCTTTATGCTCGAAATTTCTTCTTTTCAAGGCTAGCAAACTAAGCTAGATTCAGGAGCGTGTCGACTGGGGATCAAACCCGGACCTCTCATATGATTAGTTAACATTTTACCATGGAATCAACGAAGCATTCAGTATTTAACCGACTAAACCTTGTATCTGATCCAATGGGTGTTTGTTAAGTGAAAATAATTAGGTATTTATGATACAGGACTTTTAGTCAACTACTTTTAATTGTCTTGTGAAAACTAAAAACTAGGTAGGTTCAAATTATTTCCCTAAGTTGACACACTTCATCGTTTGCATTCCCTGCTCAGAACGAAAAAAATATTTTGAAATTACCATTAAAAAATATAGTTTATTTACTCCTAGTTATAAGAAACCAAATATACATGCTCGCCATTTTCCTTTTATATTTAATTGGGAAGTATACGCAACTGGCAAATATGAGAAATGGAATCACGCATAGATCATGTATTGTCATTATATGATCACCTCAATGAGACCCTTTCAAACATCTAATTCACCATGGAATATGAGCATAATAATGAGTTCAATTTCCTGGATCTAAATGTAGAAAGAACAAACGATGGTACGATCGAAAAGTCTATCAACAGAAAAGAGACCAGGACTGGTCAATATCTTCACTGTAACTGCTTTTGTCCTATAAGCTATTAGCGTGGATTATTGAAGACATTCTACGACAGAGTGAGGAAGCTATCTTCAGCCAACAGGTAGAAGAGAAGAATGACACTTTGGTGAGAAATACCTAAGGGATAATGGATATCCAGAAGGATTTATTAAGGAACTATGGAAAAGAAAAGGAAGAGGAAATGAAATCTTCAACTGTGGGAAAGAAGTAAGCGTTTATTTGTTTCCCATTTAAAGGGAATGCAATGCCCCAAAAGGTTGACAAGAGAATGAAAGGAGCAATAAAAAGAAGCTTCACTGCAGCTAAACTCATAACATTATACAGCAATACTTCTTCTATAAGCTGCTTTCAACTGGATAAATACCCTGCTGATGTCACCTCCAACTGCGTTTATGAATTTACGTACACTTGCGGGATCAAGTACATTGGGAGGACAGAAAGAAGGGCTTCTATTCGGTTTCCTGACATATTCCATGAAACCTGCACCTGAAAGGAAGCAAATATTCTCAGAGTCCAGTTAGCAGATATCTTGTTGACACCGGTCATCTCATAGAGATTTCTTAGTCCTTCAAAATATTAAATAGACAAAGGGCAGCAAATTTACGATGATTTGCAGGAACGATCGCAATCAAACGATTCACACCAACCAGACTTGAGCATACAAAAAGAGAGTGTGATTAATCTCTCACTACCTTGGTAGCTGAATTTCGGTTCTGATTACATTAATTAGTCATCTAATTCAGTGACATCAACTCACTGAACAAATCTCAATCTTATAAACTGTAACCGTTTTTTCTAAAGTTGCAACGTGAACCTACAAGCTAACACTGTTTGTTAATCTTTTGTGGTTTCTGTCTTAAGCCTCCCCTCTCTTTTCTACTTTTAAAGCGTATAAATTGATGATGAAAACTTAAACTAAAAATTGTAATGCTTACATTTTGGATGGGTCAGTTTCAAAGTATTTCTTCTCTACTACACTCAAACATTAAAGTATGTTATTATCATGTAGATAACCATTGTAATTTCAGGTGGTCTGAAGCTGTTTAGAATGATGATATCATTTTATTCAAGTATTGGTTTGTAGGGATTTCATTGTCTGGTTACAGGATTTCATCATAAGCTGACATTGGTTAGAAAACCGTTGGAAAACCTGGGAGTACTGGACAGCTGTTTCGTCCTAGTTTGGGACTCTTCATCAGTACGCACTCACCGCGAGGGTTCGAATCCAAGACCTTCTGATTACAAGGCTAGAGAGCTC